TGTCACCTGAACTAGCTCCCCAGGTCAAGAACCAAAGGTGCTGACCCTATAAACCTTACTGTTACGTGGTTTGGGAATGTGTTCATCAGAAAAATTGTCATCAAAGGTGCATAGTGTGTAGACCTGGTTCTAGGGCCTGGGAAGAGGCAGAGGGAGGCAGAGTTCAAAGGCAACTGATTAGCCAAAGGATGGGACTGTGCGGTTCAGTGGTGGAACACTTGCCTCGTATGCAAAAAACCCTGGATTGGGTTGGCGTCCCCTGCATTGTAAAATAAAATTTAAAAAAAAAAAAAAGGAAAGATGATTCACAGTTTGTATCTTTTTGGTTTTTTGAGACAGGGTTTCTCTGTAGCTTTGGAGCCTATACTGGAACTAGCTCTTGTGGCCCAGGCTGGCCTCGAATTTAGAGATCCACCTGCTTCTGTCTCCCAAGTGCTGGGATTAAAGGCATGTGCCACCACCACCCGGCCACAATTTGTATCTTACCAGAAGTTATATTAATATTCCCAGCTTCAATGCCTGCTTTGAGTCCTTCTTTCCCCAAAATCCCAGATTCTCCTTTGGCCAGGCGTTCCCTCTCTTTCTCTTCCAAGCTTCCATAATAGATGTGTGGTTTCTTCACAACAGGAGCAACTAAATCATCAGGTGCTTTAGCTTTGGTTGCCTGTTAAATCAAAGACCCCGATTAAGGCTTAATCCTAGTAAACCATGTAAACCTAGTAAACCAAAAGCATGGAAGCTAATGCGTTTTCGTTTTATTTCCTCCAAAAGCTAAGGAACAAGGTGGGTATACATCAATTTAGATTGTGAATTTAGATTCTCGTTAAGTTAGGCAGACAAATACAACGAATCAATTTCTGTTTAAGTATCTGGCTTGCTTTGGGACTCGTATACTTTATTTTATTGGAAAGGCAATCTTCGGTTTTACAAGAATAACTGCTCACCACTGGACAAATACCAAGAATAAACTAAACACAATTAGGGCGGTTTTAGGTGCACCAAGTCACAATGTTACTGGAATACACATTTCAAATACTTCCAGAGCCGATTAGAAGTTGGGAGGCCTCGTCCTAAGTACCGAGTTATACAGTTTAAGTCAAGACATGTTCCCATTTTTTAAGCTCTGTGTTTTGGAGCAGTTATAAAAAGTGTTCACTGCTCGGGGCTGAAGTAAGGGAGATGCAGAAAGCTGCAGCACACGAAGGCGTTCAGAAATCAGGAAAAAGCTGCTAAGCTCCGTACTACGGTTCCTTAGCCTTACTCCTCCGCCCTGACCCGCAAAGTAACGGCCCCTTCCCGTGGGGACCCCGCCCTTTCTGGGAGAGGATCGGCCTGAGCTGCGATCCGAAGCTCCGTACCGTGGAGGAGGCTCGAGAGGAGGCCATGCTTGGCACAGGTGCCGCAAAGGCCCTAGCCAAACCCGCGCTCTGCTTTTCAGACTGTCCAAAGCGCGCCCAGCGAAGTGGAAGTGCGTCACTGGCCGGAAACTTATCAGGAGCGTACTCCCGGCTCTGGGAGTCGCGGAGAATCCTGGGCGTCGTAGTTGGCAAGCGTCGGCTGGCTTCGAGGGGCGTGGCCTCTTAGAGTGTTCGACACAAGCTCGCGGGAGAAGAGGCGCGTGGGAAGAGAGGCACAGAGCAGCCTGGGAACTGTAGTTCGGGCCGCGCAGCAATGGCGTCATGGTGGGAGTTGAGGTTCTGGGAAACTGCAGAGGCCTGAAAAGAGGTAGGTTCGCGGATCTCGACTGTAATTAGGAGCGAACCGAGGGTCTCTGTTCTCCTTCGGGAGGACTTCCGTCATCTCGAAGCCGAGGACTGTGTTGCCATGGAAATCTCTCCCTAGACTAGTGCATCCTTGGAGCTGAGAAAGAGACTGTTGTCCACGACGGTACGGAAGTTCTCCCGAGGGCCTCTCGTGACTGGGTGGCTTCGTAAGAATTTGGACTTCAAGAAAACATTAAACTCGAAGAATCTTCTAGGCCTAAAATAAAGACGCGGCCAGGGAGCTGCAGCCTAGTTTGTTGTTGGTTTACTTGTTTTTGTTGTTGTACAACCTTACAACCTATTCTTTGTACGTGTTCTTTGAGATAAAGGATCCAGGGAGGCGCCAGGGAGCGTGCATGCAAGCAGCTCTTGCTCCGCTGATTGCTAGGCCATCTGAAAAAATACGTTTTTTTTTTTTATCTTATTTCTTTTAATCCTTACATCAAGATTGTGGAGATTGCCAAACTATTCATGTGTCCTGAGCTGGGCAGACTCACGTGCGCTCTTTGAGCCTCTTTCCCCAAACAAATGCAATTATAGGAGCACTTCCTCTTCTAGTGCTTACCAAATGCACAAATCATGAGGAAGAAACTAATTCTGTTTAGGTTATTCAACTGCGTATAGAAAATAAATTCTGGTTAGGAATGAAGCTAACCCGTAGTTCTGGAGCCATAGTGTAGTAGGATTGCTATTGTGGCGGCTGTAAGTTCTTTTAACCTGCACTCAATACTTCCCTCTAGTGGTGAGGCTTTCATTTTGTACACAAGTAGAAAAACTAATTATGTCTTCCTTTTCCTTTGGAGCTAGCTTCCTCTTCCATTTCTCTACTTAACCATCTGGTAAAAGGTAGTATCAGACGTAGAATAATGCAGTTTGAAATGTCATGGGCCAGTGTTATGTATTGACTATATCACCCCTGGCTATGCTATGCCTCCTGAGAGAATGTTTCTTCATTTGTATACATTGTAGTCTTTTGTTTCATTCTAGATTCATACAATAGCAATTTATATGTATGTACACTACACTATAGCAGAACTTTCCCTTAGATCATTAACATTTAACTCTAATGGTCTATGTGTAACTTCAAGAAGGATGATATTGTTAACTAAACTGTTTACTTCAATTTTACAAAACTGGAATAATTTTTCAAGCTTCACAAGGCTTCTGTATTAAAATAATATAAAGAATAGGAATGTGGCATGGTTCAGTGGGTAAAGGAACCTGTACCAAGCCTGGCATCCCACATGGTAGAAAGAGAACTGACTCCCAAAGGTTGTCCTCTGACCTCTGATTATGGGCTGTGGGCTGTGTGCTTCCACCAACACCAATAAATAACTAAATATAATAATTTTCAAAAAGCAAAAGTTTTTAAAGTTACGAAAGAGAAAAAAGCAATAATGGAAAAGTCTAGGACTAAAGAAAAGTTAGTTTCACTTTCTCTGGATAGCTCAGTTTATTCTGAAATTTGTTTGCTTATTATAGTTGCTGTGGAGGACAGAGAGATGATACCTTCCACGGGTACTAAGCTCTACTTATTTTTTTTTTCTGAAACAAATATGGGCTTTGTTAACACAAGCATTCATTTGCCATATGAAATGATTTTGAACTTCTGCAGCCTTACTGGTCTCCATCTTCCTACCCTTCAAATTCACCGAGACACCTTTTCCCACAGCTACTCCTGTGCAGCCCAGCCTGGCTAAGTGCTCATGCAGTGCTGTTGAAGGACCCGCCTGAGTTCTGATTTTACACTAGATTGGCATAGTCTGTTTTCCCCACAGGTTGTGACAGTGACTTTAAACGTCCATAGAAGTATCTGATTAATGAATGATTCACCCATTTAGGACCTGTGAATTGGTAAGTGTGGTTTTAAGATGATGATGTTTCTAGAAAGCAGAGTTGTGTGTATGTGACTGTGAGTGTGATATATATGTATATATATATATATATATACTTTGAGACCTGAGCATGTTTGCTACCTGTCCTGCTGTGTTAAACTCTGCCTTACTTCAGAGTCAGGCTGATAGCCAACAAACTCCAGCAATCTTCCATTCCTTCATAGCTCAGGGTTACAGGCCCCTATAAGATCATGCTCAGCGTTTTTTTTTCCTTTTCTTTTTCTTTTCTCTCTTTCTGTCTGCCTGCCTTCCTTCTTTCCTTTCCTCCCTCCCGCTCTCTCTCCCTCCCTCTTCCTTCCTTCCTTTCTTTTTTCTTGAGGCAGGGGTTTCTTTATAGCCCTGGCTGTCCTGTAACTTGCTTTGTAGACCAGGCTGGCCTCAAACTAAGAAATTTGCCTGCCTCTGCCCCCAAGTGCTGGGATAAAAGGGCTGTGCCATCATTGCCGGACTATGCCTGGCTCTTTATCTGGGTGTTGGGAATTTGAACTCAGGTCCACTTGCTTGGGCTGGAAGTACTTTTATTTGTTCAATCATCTCCCCAACTCCTAACTTTCTTCCGTTTGGTGTCTTTTATTTTTTTATTTATTTATTTTTTTTCAGACAAGGTCTCCATATGTTTCTGTTTCTTTGCTGGCCTCCACTCCCAGGCTCAGGTGACCCCAGTGTTGGGGCTGGAGTCACAGTGACCCCGGGTGTTGGGGCTGGAGTCACATGCCACTACAGTCAGTTCATTTCTTTTAGCTACTGTATTTCTTTGGAGGTTATTGGAGCACAAGATTAAGGTGATTGTTGGGTGTCATGCTTGGGAGCTCACAGCTAAAAGGGTCTTGGGACCTAAGTCTGGGGTCCCAAGCTTGGTTTCTGACCTAAAGCCTCTGGACAGAGAAGAATTTCTGTGTGGCTGTGTCTGTGGTGTCCCCCAGGTTTTGAATAAAGCATCTCAAAAAGTGTTTAAAAAAAAACCTAAAAGATTGCTGCCTAGATTCTCTACTGACAGTTTTCTGGCTTTTGTTTTTAAAGATTTATTTTATTTTTAATTTTGTGTATGTAGGTTTATGCACACGAATGCAGGTGTCCAAGGAGGGCATAGTCATCTGTTCCTCTGAAGCTGGCAGTTAGTTAGAAGCTGGGAATTAAGCTTGTGTCCTCTGCAAGAGCGTAGATATGCTCGTAACTGAAGAACCATCCCCGTAGCCCCCAGCAATAAACAGGTGCTTAAAGAGTTTGAAGTCAATGCATGAACTCTAAATGAGTTAATGTTCCATTTATTTTATTACTCATGTTTACAGAATTCATCTGTTTGTAGCTGAGATCTGCCACCCGAAGTTTTTTCCTCTCGCCATTTCCGACAGCCACTGGGTGTGACCGCCAGTGCTGACTTCACTATGCTACGGCGGAAACCAACGCGCCTGGAGCTCAAGCTCGATGACATTGAAGAGTTTGAGAGCATTCGGAAGGACTTGGAGGTAAGGACTCACTTTCTGGTTATTAGGGGACCCTCACACTCCACCAGCAGCCTATTTGAAATCTACTTGGGTGCTTTACAGGTATCTCAGAACAAACGTGCATTTCCCGTGATGGTGACCCAAAACAGCAGAAAATGACCCTTTTACAGTTCTTCTTACATTACTCTGTTATTTGTTTATTAACTTTTTCATATATTTTGGTCATGTTCTCCCCAGCCCCAATACCTCCCATTACTCACTCAAATTTATGTTTTTTATTTCTCTCAAAAACAAAACAAATCCCCAAGCAAGAAACAAAAAGTCCACAAAAATACCATTGAGTTCATTTTGTGATGACCAACTACTCCTGGGTGTTTAGTTGACTCAGGAGTGTGGTTGGTATATCCAGTGATATTGAAGATATTGGAGAAAACTGATTTTCCCTTTGGCAGTAATGTCAGTTGCAAGTAGCTTCTTGGTTAGGGCTGGGACTCCGTGTCTGTCTACTTCTCCCTCAGTGCTGGACCCTGTCTGGCTTGAACCTGTGTAGGTCTTTTATGTGTTGCACAGTCTCCTTGGAGCCATCCTTCTTCACCTCTGACTCTAATAATCTTCTTGCCTCCTTTTCCACATAGATCCCTGAGCCTTGAGGGGATGGATTTGAGGAAGACATTTCATTTAGGACTGAGTGCTTCAAAGTCTTTACACTCTACACATTGTCCAGTTGTGGGTCTGTGTTAATTTCCATCTAGTACAAGAAGAAACCTCTCTGATGGGGCTGAGCGAGACACTGGTCTATGGTCAGAGCAGTATGTCATTAGGAGTCATTATTGCTATATTCCTTTATGCAGAATAATACCATGTTTTTCCTTAGTCTGAGATCTACTAGTCTCCAGGTTTGTGCTTGCTAGGCACTCTACCAGCTGAGCAACATTACAACCTATCAGCATTTTAGAACTCACTCCGAGTTAACAAAAAACACCCCCCCCCAAAAAAAAACCCCTGTGAGTTACCATTATTTTCCCCCTCAGTGTTAGAGATTAACCTAGGACCTTGTAGGACTTTGTACATGTTAGGCAATTACTCTTACTAAACATTCAGCTGCTCCTTGCAATCACTTAGTTATTTATTGTAAAATCCTTTAGATTAGGAACTTTGATTAAAGAAATCCTATCCATTTTCTTTACCATTGGATTTCTATAGAATCCAGCCTGCAGTGGAGTACTGTTTATGTGTTTTGTTTTGTTTTTGTCGGAGACAGGATCTCACTGAGTAGCCCTGTCTGGCCTGGAACCCATTATGTAGACCAGGCTGGCCTTGAACTTAACATTAGCATCTGCTTCTTGAGTACTGTGGTTAAAGGCATACAAGACTACACCTGGCAGCTGTATATAATTCTAATTTTGCCATACAATATTAGATATCCATTACTAACAATAAATTCTTCTGTGCCTTCAAGATGAAGTCCAAATCCCTAGGCATGGTCCATGAGGTCCTTTATGACCTAGGCCGTGCCCATCTCTCCCCTTTATCTGCCCAGTTATCTTTAATCTCAGTGCTGTGTACTCTATTCCCTTTGCTTGATGTATCCTGTTGTAAAAGGAGCGGCAGGCTGCTTCCCACCACCTGGCTCCTGGCTTGCTTTACCCAAGATAATTACACGGAAACTGTATTCATTTAAACACTGCCTGGCCCATTATATCTAGCCTCTTCTTGGCTAACTCTCACATCTTAATTAATCCATTCTATTAATTAATGGATTAATCTTAATTAATCTTAATTAATCCATTTCTAATAATCTGTATATCACTACGTGACTGTGGCTTACCAGGATGAGTCTACGTCTCATCTGGAGAGGAGAGCCATGGTGTCTACCTGACTCTTGCTTCTTTCTCCCAGCATTCTGTTTGGTCTACTCCACCTATCTAAGCTGCTGTCCTATCAAAAGGCCAAGGCAGTCTCTTTATTTAGCCAATGAAAGTAACACATAGACAGAAGACCCTCCTACATCAGTATCCTATCCCTTTATTAGGCCAATGCCGCCTCATCTTGACCCAGCTGGGTTAAGTTCACTCACCACCCTGTGTTGACTGACCTCTTGTAGGTGCCACCACTCTCTGTTTTAACTCTCTGTTGGTCTTTCTTCTTCAGCTGGGCCAGAAGGTCCTTGAAGGCAAGAATTAGTATATTAAGCTCTGGACTCTTTCCAGAGGAGGGCTCCCTACAAGCCTATTTGCATTTTCTGCTCTTGGAGGTACTTTATTTATATGATACAGGACATTACATCTTTTATGTACCCAGTGTGTAATTGGCTTTATATCGTTCATGCAAAGACTGACAACTTAGGTTTCTCTTGCTCTTCAATCCAGAAACTGTAGTGCGCATGTTTTTTGTTCTCTCTCTCTCTCTCTCTCTCTCTCTCTCTCTCTCTCTCTGTGTGTGTGTGTGTGTGTGTGTGTGTATGTGTTGGGTGCAAGTTTTTGCCCTGCCTGCCGGTTCCCAGATAACTGACACAGAGGCTTAACCCTATGCTTTGCCACATGGCTCATGGCTTTTTACCTAATTTTCTACACATCCTGCTTCCTTGGCTGGCTGGCATCTCCTTGACTCGGCGTTTCTTCCTCCTAGCAGTCTCAGTCTGGCTTTTCCACCTATATATTTTGCCTGGCTACTGACCAATAAGCATTTAATTAAACCAATTTGAATAACAAATCTTTACAGTACACGAAGGGAGTATTCCACAGTGTGTATGAAAGAGTGTCCTCAGGCCATGGAGCCTGCGGCAACCAGAGCACAAGATGAAGGAGTTATTTCTCTCCTTCACTGTAGCTTTGGAGCCTGTTCTGGAACTAGCTCTTGTAGACCAGGCTGGCCTTGAACTCACAGAGATTCATCTGCCTCTGCTTCCTGAGTGCTGGGATTAAAGGTGTGCACCACCACCGCCTGGCTATTTCCCTTCTTTTACCACATTTATTCTTGGAATTTAATTCAGACTCAGGCTTGGCAAGCAATTATCTTTACTCACAGAGCTGTTTTGACAGTCCAATTTTTTGCTTTTTAAGAATTCATATTGGTAGTATATTATTAAAGATGAGGTTTTGTTCTTTTTGTTTTTTGAGAAAGGGTCTCACTGTGTAGCCCAGGTTGGCCTGGAACTCATTGTGATCTTTTGCCTCAGATTCCTGAGTGCTTGTTTTATAGGCATTCATCTTCAGCCCTGGAAATGATGAGTTTCAAGAATGGTTTAAATTTCAGATGTAATGAGTCAAAATGCTGGACAGTGGACTTGGACTCTGCAGAGTCAGCTCATTGTTGAGTTAGCCTTTCCACTAAAGGTAGTGGGTTTGGTGTCCTTTCCAGCAGCTTGGGAAAGAAGGACACTTTTAGAATGAATTAAAATGAAAACAGTAGAAAAAGTGGCTCTTCTTCTTTCCACCATTATTTATTTCAAATAAGTAATCCAGGCTGTTACAACCTCTTCTGTCCCTGACTCCTTCCTATGCCTGGCTCTTTTTTTTTCTTCCTTTCTTTGTGTGTGTGTCTTAAGATAGGGTTTCTCTGTATAGCCCTATAACCCTGACTGACCTGGAATTCACTTTGTAGGCTAGCCTGGCCTTGAACTCACAGAAATCCCCTACCTCAGCCTCCTGAGTACTGGGATTAAAGGCGTGTACCACCATGCCCGGCTCTGGTCTTTCTGTTAAAAAAACAATCTTTATGAAGGTTTCTGACTACATGTGTCCTCACCATGTGCATGCAGTGTCCATGGAGGCCAGAAGAGGGCATCAGATCCCATGAAACTAGAATTACAGATGGTTGTGACCTGCCATGTGGGTGCTGGGAACTGAACCTGGGTCCTTTGTAAGAGCAGCAAGAACTTTTTCTTAACTGTGGAGTCATCTTTCTGCCTCTATTTCTTGGTATTTCATTTTTACTAAAGTTGTTTACACCTTTGGAACAGTCTAGTTGTTCACAACACAGAACTTTTAAAATGACTTCATCCTACTTGAATATTCTCAGAGATTCCTTTGCTTCTTAGAGTAGTTTTCATGAAGCTATTTGGGGGCTGACCTCTCAATGTCACTTCTTTGTAGTGTTGACTAGAGAGTAACAGGAAGTTCAATACAGACACAAAATTTTATTTATTATTATGTATATGATATGGGTAAGTGAGGTTTTTTGTCTTCTACAGTGAATGTGTGGAGGTCAGAAGGACAATTTTCTGGAGATGGTTCTCTACTTCAACCTTGTAGATGCAGGGTCTCTTCCTGTTTCTGTTGTATACTTCAGGCTAGCTTGCTCATGAACTTCTAGGCTGTCTCTGCCTCCTAGCTTGCTGTTAGGGGTGCTATGATTACAACTATCCACCACCTACTCAGATTTATTTATTTATTACTTAAAAATATCATGGGTTCTGGGTTTTGAACTCAGATTGTAAGGCTTGTGCAGCCATCTTACTGGCCAAGTTCCTTACATTGTTATTTAGAAGGTAACCACAGGAAATTTTATATTTGGAGGCATTCTAGATCCTGAATTTTTAGCTTAGGGATGCTCAATTTCTGTAGCCAATGTATAGTATTTCAAATCTGGAAAAAAAATTGAACCTCAAATACTTTGGGTTCCAAGCATTTCAGAGAAGGGGTCATCCTTATTTGGTTGACCATAATACATTGATGCTGGGATTTAAGGGATCACAGTTCACGAGTAGGAGGTAGAATTACCATCATAATTTGAGTCAGAGCAGCTGAGTTGGGCTAAAGCACTGTAGATAGAGCATCTGTCATTTTTTAGGAAGAGTTAGCATCTAATGCCATCTTATAGTCAGGAGTGGTGGCTGTGGGACTCTGTAGTCACTTGTGACTCCAAGCAGGACCACTTTTGTGAAAGAATGAAGCCTAAGTCTTCCTCTGTATTTCACATTCAACTTGAATTGAGAAGGTTGAGTCCTGTCTCCAAATGGTCATAAAGTCAGCTGCCTCTTGTAGCCTGAATGCAGCCATTGCTGTCAGCACAGGAAGATTAAGGGCTGTGAGTCACAGGAACCAAAGCCTTGATTGGTTGACTGTATTGAAGGTACAGATGAGAGCGAACATTTGCAGAAGTGAGGCATACTCACAGATTGTCTAGTCTCGAGAAAGTCCCAAACAAAATATTCATGGACCATGGTATTGTTTGGGTAGATGATTGTTTGTTTGCTCATCCACGCAAGATTGATAGGCATAGAGTGGAACCAAAGAGCCCTTTTTGGAGAGGATGCCTTGTGCACATCAGTAGTGAAGAAAATTTTTGTTGGTGATAGTAATAATAATATTCAGAAGCATAGACTTAGAGACTGAATGGCAAGTTTGGAAGGAGTTGTGAAAACAGTGGAATAGAGAGGGTTTGTCCTTTTAACCCTGGGCCAATTATATATACTGTTGATTCAGAAATTGTTATTTCTGAATTGTTATCCATTGGCAACATTAGAACATGGAAAAGACCCCTTTTGAACAAGATGTTATCCACTGAATAACAAGGAGGCCAGGGGTGGGGGTGGTTGTGAAGAAAATTTTGGAAGTGCTGTAAGTACCTTTGGTTGTGATGGCAACTTTGGTAGATGAAGCTACAGTGATGAAGGCGGTGGTGGCTCTATAGATTTGTAAACAGGATCAGGCTGTCGAACCTAAGGTAGATAGATATACTATAGTGGTTGAATATATGGTGGCTACAATGAAGGGGATTTGGCAATGATATAAATAATTACAGTGGTGGTGAGAACTATCATGGCTTTGGAAACCAGTCAAATCATAGACCCATGAAGTAAGCAGTTTTAGTGAAGGAAACTCAGGCAGTTGTGGTAGAAATGTAGATGTAGCATAATTATTTTGTTTGGTTTTAAGATAAGGCTTCACCCATGTAGGCCATGATTTGAACTTGTAATAGTCTAGCAACAGAGTTCTAAACACAGCAGAGAAGTGCTTCCATTCTTTTTAATTTTTTTTTTTTTTTTTGGTTTTTCAAGATGGGTTTCTCTGTGTAACAATCCTAGCTGTAGTAGACCAGGCTGACCTCGAACTCAGATATTGCATACCTCTGCCTCCCAACTGCTGGGATTAAAGGCGTGCCATCACTGTCTGGCAAGGGCTTCCATTCTTAGGAATGAGAGTTGTCAGGAAAGCTATAGGTTACTTAGGGACATTCGAGGAAGTAACATTCATACCAGGGAGGTTTCTGCAGCAGAAGCAGGAATCCTTCTTGTTAGGAGATCCTCAGCCAAAAGTTGAGACAAGTGTAGCAGCGTCGTTGATGAAGTGTGGTGCCAGCTGGATTGACACCAAGGTCACCTGTTATAGATCTTCTTTCCGTCGCATCAGACTTATTCCTTGTTTAATTCCTTGGCCGTAGTGGTACCAAGAATAGAAAGGAAATTTTCCAAAAAAATTCAAATCAAAACCAAAACGGGGGCTAGGATATAGTTTGGTGATAGATTGCTTGTCTACCACACACGAGGCCTTGGGTTCAATTCCTAGCATCACCAATAAACAAATAATTAATTTATAAAATGACCTATCCCAGGTAGCATCATCTTTTTTTGTGATACCATAGCTGTGTGTGGAGCCAGTCAGGATGTAGGTTTATTTTTTATTTTCCCCTTTTGAGACAGGGTTTCTCTGTGTTTATTTTGGCTGTCTTAAAACTCACTCTTTAGACCAGGCTGGCCTTGAACTCACAGAGCTGTCTCCAGGCTATGGGTTTTTTGGTGACTACTAGTCATGTTGTTTTTCACTTGTTCTCTTTAAACATAGTTTGCTTGAAAAACCTTTTGTTGCCTCACCTCCACTGTCTCCAACTGTAGGTTCATACTGGGCCTTTGTTTTGTACCCAAAATTCCTCCCCACCCTTTCTTTGTGTCTCTTTGGAATTGTGGACTTCATTATAACCCTGAACTCTGTATGTATATAATTGTCTCCATGCTCATTGCCTTCTAGACAGTGATATCCTGGAAGGTAGGGTTACACATTCTAAGATTGCACGCCTGTATCCTTCTTTAAATATCCTAAACTGGGGATATCAGTTTATTGTTTATTAGCCCCTAACTCTGCCCCTTACCCAATACCCCAGTACATGGTAAGTGCTAGCTAATCATTTGCTAATTGAAAGAATGTTTTTCTTTTTCTTTTTTATACTTTCAGACACGCAAGAAACAGAAAGAAGATGTGGAAGGTGTAGGAACCAGTGATGGAGAAGGGGCTGCTGGGCTGAGCAGTGACCCCAAAAGCCGGGAACAAATGATTAATGATCGAATTGGTTATAAACCCCAACCTAAGCCCAACAACCGCACATCTCAGTTTGGAAACTTCGAGTTTTAGAGATGAATTCTCCTGCATGCCAGATCTCTGGAATGAAATAAAATGATGTCAGAAATACAGAACAGATTTAGAGAATTAAGTGTGTACAACCAAGGAGAATGTTTTCTGTCTCCTGCAGAGAGAAATAATGTCTGCATGAAATTACTGCTGTTCAACTTTTCTGATAAGCTAGAAGCCAAATTCTGGCTTGTATCTGGAAAGTTGAACTGTGGAAAGCTTACCTGATTTTTGTTTTTAAAATTAAATATATTTTTGGAAAAATGCGAGACATCCCTAAAAGTTGTAGTAATGAAGTTCCCAGTTCTGAGAGGTAAACGCCACCAGAGGTGATGTCATCCTCCTTGTCTTTACAAAAGGACCCCTAACCCGCAGTTGATCCTCTGAACGTTCACTTCACCCATTTATTCAGTATTTGGTGACTGCTGACCACCCTGCAAGCAACAGAGATTCCAGATGAGTGTGTTCATGGCTATAACCTAGCACTTGGAAGGCTGAGGTAGGAGTCTCAAATGAGTTGGAGGCTAGTCTGGGCAACAGAATAAAATCTTGTCTCAGAATGTCTAAAACAAACCAAACCAAGACAAAGACTCCTACCCTTATGGAGATTGGATTCTAAAGAACAAACAAAAATAACGAAGAGTCAGATCAATTTACAGAAAGACTTTATACAGCGAGGGAAACACGGACATTCCCAACAGCACGAGCACTCTAATTCTCCTTCCTTTGGGACGCATCTGAGAATCTGCAGCAGGAACCCATCTGAACTCTGGATACTTTTGCACCATGCCCCATTTTACCATAAAATTTAGGGACAGAAGTACTGGCTGTGGAAGGCAGAACATCTGGAATCAAGTTTCAAAGAGACTCATTAACTGGTTTTACCCAGGCTTTTGGATAGTTCCTGAATGATATAAATGGGAAGGTAGAGATAAAAGGGAATTGTGTAGTTTCCTCTTCCTGCTCCAAACTTCTTTTTACAAAACCTTTATTCCAGTTTTACTGTTGACCCCTAAATCCTGTTATCTTACTGTTTTAAAAAACAATAAAACCCAAGACACAAGCTGTAGATTGGGGATTCATGTTATTGCAGCCTGCAAAGGCCTTATAGAAGGGCAAGGAGAAAAAGTGCCTGCATCAGTCAGTCCCTCTCTACTGCAACTATCCAGTATGATTTCCCACAGTTTTTATGCTTCTGCATGTCTTGCCTTTTGATAACTGGAATGCAGAGGTCTGTGTAAGACAGTGCTGGGTGACTCATGCAGACACCCTTAATTTCTGAGAGGGCACACCTTTCTGAGTTCTCAGAAGTGAACCAGAGCTCATTTCATGGAGTGGTAGGTAGGAGATTTGAATCCTGGGCAGTCTGCTTTCCAAGCCCATGCTTCTAAATGGCCTTTACTATATTGCTTTCTTAGTGTTCTTGTCTGAAAGCAGTGTGTAGGGAGAGAAGTTTCTATTTTCAGCTTTCCAAAAATTTCCATGTTATCTTATTTAACAGAATGAGACAATTATTTATCAGTAGACTAGGACTTACTGCAATTGCTAATCATTTTTGGGCACAACTACATTATATATTTCAATTCTGTATTCCTTAGGATCTGTTCATTTCCAGATTATCAGTACCCAGGAGGTTTAGTCAGGTGCTTGTAATGATACCGACCTTACTCAGAAGAGCGACCTTTCATTTCCTATGTCTTCAGGGACAGAATAATCAATAGATAGTAAAAGCATAATATGGCTTGGATATGCCTGTCTTGTATGGGGTACCTTATCCATATTGCTTTTAACTTAAATGAAAAGGTGCTATTACTCCTTTGTGTAAGTGAGTGCACACATGAGGCATGCTAGGGATCGAACCTAGAGCCTCAGAAAGGCATGCTAGTCAAGCATTCAACCACTGAACTATACCCATAGCCATTTGTTTTTGCAACAATCCATCTCACCGTGTTAGAAGTCCAGACCAGACACTGCTAAAGTTATGCCCATCTGCAGCCCCCTCTACCTCCATCTTCATGTCTGGTTCTGAGAGATCCCTGCTGCTACACAGAGACAGACACACTGGAGCATCTGTAACACAATACCCAGGTGCTGGGATTCCACTTTGTTTCCCTAGGAGATTTACAGACCAGGTTGCTAGACCCGAGGCCATTAGAGGTCTTCTGTTGGGGGCACACCTGTATGTGCCCCTCCTCACTTCTCCTATTTCCAGAGTGGTGCATTCCTTTGGCATTCCCTCCCTTCTCCCTGCTACCAAGAATTAGAGATAGCCTGACTGGAGCTGAGGCCTGAGCTCTCAGACTTTGTCATGTTGCTATCTGTATTTTCATGCTGTTAATAACTCTTAATAAAATTCTTGCACAAAAGGAAAATCACCCTGTGTTCCCCTGTACCCCCAAACTGATGACCGGCTTATTTGGAAACTACTTTGTGTAGACAGATATGCATGGACTCACAAAATCAAGATGTTTATTTTGTTCTCTTGCACACAACACTTAAACCATTCCCATTTCACCAATCCTGCTCTCTGGGAGCTCACAGTCTCTGAAACAGTCACCGTGAAATGTAGAGCCAGTGTTTAAGGCATTACATCAAATGCAGACTTGTCATTTAGATGACTCTTTGGAAGTGGCTGGAAAGGGCAGGCTCAAGATTAAACGATACGATGTACGCCCTGCCTCACTTTCCTGATTCTAGTAAGGAACCTAGGCCCAGAGTCTGAAAGAGAGTTTGGGACAACCCTACCATAGTGAAACTGATGGATTGTTGAGGATGTTCCACATGTGGGCAATGGGGTGTTGAGTGTTCTTCCATTTTGGATCTGTAACTCTGGAGAAAGGTAATCCTTTACCTAGCTTTATAGAAATTCTAATGGGGTGACTGCTTCTTGAAGCAAACTTAAGACCTCTACCTGGTTTGTAAATACCAACTTCTAATTGGTATGCTAATTATAACCACAGCATTGAATGTCTACTGTATCAGGAAACAGATTTTAAAAACTAAGCTGCCTGGGATAAAGACAGAAAGGGAAAAGTAGGCAGGGGCTAAGGAAATCCAGACACAGTCTTCCCATGGAAGAAAGTTTTAGATAAACATAGGAGCTGGGTGTTAAAGTTCAAGAGCATAGGATTTAAGCTTTACCTCTTCCTGTACTAACCACACCCTCTAGAACCTAGTCCGGGATCTCAAGTGCAGGTTTTGTAGTAGACTGCTTCTAACCTGAATCTCCCCTGAAGAACCATGTCAGAGTGAGATTTCTCTTGGTTTCAGACTCATAGCACCTTGTCCTAACTAGCCTTGGTTCTTCTCACCTCACTGATAAGGTCCTGTTTCTCATAGTGTATGCTTTATTTTTAGGATTTTTGGGGTTAAACAAGGCTATGTTTAACCTGATGTATGCTAGAGAAGTGATCCATATCTAAGCTGCATCTCAGCCCCTGGAAGGTGTTTTATGGCAGCTCATCTGGAGATCTCTAGAAAGCACCAGGGTGACCACTAAGTGTGGTTTCTGTATTCCCCTGGGTTTATTGTTCCTTAGCTTCTGAGATAACAACAGGCTATTTGCACTGTAAAGTTGGGCTCTGTCAGTACCTGTCATTCACTGTGCAAGATTGAACTAAGAGAAAAAGCTCTAAAGTTAATTTCTTAGATTTTTTTTAGCCTTAATTCAGCAGGCTTATAACCCTTTCTTGGTTCAAAGCTACCAAAGTATATATTCCTTGTTCTCCGATGTTTAGTTGGCACCCGTAGAGGGAAAGTACAAACTTCAGAATCATAATACTGGGCCAACAAGATAGCAGGTGTGTTTCTTCTGCTCTGAGGCACAACTGGATCTAGCACCAAAGAGGGCAGGGATAACAGACTAGCATAGGAAGAATCACTTTAAAGAGGTAGTTTGGGAACAAGCCTTCATGTAGACTAATGATTGACAGAACATCCAGTGGGATTTATTGAGAAAAGGAGTTTTGGCCACTGTGATCTATGCAAATCCCCATATGCAATAAAGGTGGTCAAGCAGAGGAAGAGGACTTGCACAGTGCACACTGAGAAAACCTGGCTATTAGTGGGCCATGCCCCATGCTTCTCCAAACAGAAAATTGGGTTTTTGCCCCTCTGGCCTTTGGCTGGCTGACCTGCACTGCAGATCAAAGGTCTCTTGGCCTTCAAACTACTTACAAGGAACCTCAGATCTTTAAAAATCAGGACTAGAGACTTTATATACATGTGTATACTTTGGCTATAGTCTACACAAGTTGTGTGTTATGAGCACACATAAAGGACTAGAGACTTTGTATACATGGTGTACTCTGGCTATAGTCCACACGAGTTGTGTGTTGTGAGCACATAAAGCATATCTGGAGCTAAATAAAAGTTTGTGGAATGAATAAGTATTAGCCAGCAGCATTTAGGTGTGACACATGCCCAAGACATACCACCTACCAACCAGCAGTTCAGATTCTCATGCTGGATACCAGGTAGCCCCACCCTCTGTCCCTTCCACGTACAACTTTGCTATTTTAATGCCAACTCAGGGTAATCCTCTAGATTGTCAGCAGAAACATCACCTAGAAACTTAGAAATGCCAAATTTGGTAGCACTAGGGTTGAAGTTCACCAAGTATTATCTTAACAAGAAGCACTCTGGGTGACTCTGAAACATTCTAAAGTTTGAAAATCATTTGTTTCAAGGGAAACACACAATAATAGGAAAAAAATTACAAACTTTTGCTTTGTTCATTTGGGACAAACAAATGTCTGAGTCAAAGAAAAATGCCAATGGTTTTATTTAACAATCTCTATTTCTATAGTCTCAAATTGATTGTTCTGTTTTTGTTTTGATTGGTAAGTTCATTTCTAATCACAGTGTTACGTGGAAACACAAGTTGATAAGAGAGTAAGATTACACACTCCACAAACTCGATGACTGTATTTAGTCCCTAACCACTCTCCACACTCTACTAGTATTTTGGTGTAACACATCACACCTAGAGAACTCACTGAGTTAAGATGAGATTATTTTCTACTATGAAACTGAAGCCCCGAGTTGGGTGAGATGTCCCTAATTACCATCAGTCCTGTTTGAAGTTAAAATCCTTTTCTATCACTGACTCAGAATTCCACCCACATATTATCTATTTAAAACAAAAATACACAAAACACCCAAAACAGAAAAATAAAAAGCAGATAACCATGTCATTAACTAAAGAGCTACCTGGATTAGACAAAGCTCAGGATTAGGAGGGAGAAGACATCCCACAGGTGACTTCTGAAGAGAAATGTCAATTTCATCTTACTAGAAGAACCACTACTCAGAGACTGTCAACTAAGCCTCTATTCAGTAAGTGTGTGTGCATAGAGATAGAAGAGAGAAGGGATGATTGGAGGGGGAATCATATCTTTCAGTTCCAAGATGCTTCCTACAGCAATCGATAAGGCCACATGTGGAGTCTGATGTTAATGGCAATGCTCTGTGATGTCCACTACCACTGCCTTCTTCCAGCTGAAGAGAAAGTATCCTGTCCCAGCCCCCGCTGCTACTGCGATGCATAGGTACCCATTGTAGGTCATGAAGATGAGCATGAGGAAGTAGCTGATGACTACCTGGATAATGTGCAGCACTGTCTGCAGGAGGTGGGGGAAGCTCAGCATCTGCTGCCTGGGGAGTAAACAGAGACAGGAAAGTCAGACTTGGGAGTCTGCAGGTCAAGAGAACAGCTAGCTGCAGCTGTGAGCACAGCTTTCCACTGGACTGCATCACAGATGTCCTGGAAACTCAGTGTGCATGCTTGTGTGTGCACACGCGTGTGTATTTGGCAAGACAGAACTTTCAGTTTTCCTCAAGCTGGTCTCAAATTCACTATGTAGCCAAGAATGGCCTTGAATTCTGATCCTCCAGCTTTCACAGAGTGCTGGGATTACAGGCATACATCATACTTGACTAGATTTAACTTTTGACAGAAAGGAATCAATTGCATTCAGCCATTCTTTTTCTATCTTGACTATACATTCTTAAAATGACCACTACTATTTAGCAAACATTTAAAAAATTGGATTCCTTTCAACTTCTCCCAAAGTGGAAAACACTTGCAACTTAGAACAACATGTATGTAGCTTTGCAGACTGCGAGTCCAATAACCCACAAATGGGAACTTCTAAAGTTACATGGAATCACTAACTCAGGAAGAAAAAAAAATACGTGCGTTTTTACAGTATAAGACAGCTCTTTAGAACTTTCATTTGGATCTGCTCCATCTTACCCGACAGTCTTGTGTGTCTCCATGAGGACGGTTCCGTTTGGTCCTGGGACAGGCATGGAATTGTAGCGAATGCTGACTTGAGACTTACGCAGCAGACCTTCTCTGGCTATCTTGAGTCCTTCATAAAACATTGCTAGTAAAAACACTGCTACGAAAGCTCCAGCCATCTCTAAGGAAGGAAGGAGAGGAGGTAATGGTACAGTCAAAGTTATCAGTCAGTGTGCTGCTGGGTACAGTGGCACCCGCCTGTGCTCAGGATTATGAGTACAGTCAGCCTGAGCTACATGACAAGTAACTATCTCAAAACAAACAAAATGGAAAAAGCATTAGTCTTAGTTTGTGAATAACTGGATGGTTGCCTCTTTACCCACTCAGCAGAGATAAGATGTTATTGAAAAATCACCGTCTCTGCTCAAGAACATATTTACTTTCTGATTATATCCAAAAACATTATCTAGAATTCTGAAAAAAAGAATAGCCAGCTGTTGTTTTGTTGTTTAACAGGGCTTTGTTGTGTGGCCTAGGTTGATCTTGATCTTCTGGAGATTCTCCTCTCTCTGCCTCCTGAGCACTGGGATTACAGGTATGTAATGCCACAGCCAGCTAAAACAACCTGTTTTAAAAAGTGCTACTCCTATATTTTGAGTAGGCATTTTAAGATATATATATCTTAAATATATATATAGTGAAGAATAAGATGAATATATATATATATATATATATATAGTGAAGAATAAGATGAATTTCTTTTTTTTTCAAAAATTTATTTACTTATTATGTAGACAGTATTCTGCCTACATATATCCCTATAGGCCAGGAGAGGGCACCAGATCTCATTACAGATGGTTGTGAGTCACCATGTGGTTGATAGGAATTGAACTCAGGACCTCTGGAAGAGCAGTCAGTGCTCTTAACCTCTGAGCCACCTCTCCAGTCCCAGATGAATGTATTTCTATGACTAATTTATATTTAACATAATACTTGAAGTAAATGCTTCTGCCACCTTCTCCAAAATCAAATTGGTTTAGTTCAGAAATAAGCTTGGTACCTAAAGCAGTTTAAGTGACCATTAAGCTCATGTGATTGCATTTAAATGTAAAAGCATACCAATACATGACAGATACAAAAAGGTAGGTGACAGCTACCATAAAAAGAGTGACTATGATATACCATGTATCAGAAACATGATGTAGCAGAGAAAACACTGGTTTAGAGAGTTCTAGAATGGTACATGTTTTCTCTCTGTCATACTAACCGTGTGATTACAGATATGAGGCTTATTTATCTGTAAACAGGCAGTTGTGAGGTCAATACTTTTTTGAGGCAGTGTCTATGTAGTCTGGCTATCCTTGAATTCTCTATGTAGAGTACGCTGGCCTTGAACTCTAAAACATCCTCCTGCCTCTCAAGTGCTGAGATTAAAGGTACTCACTACCATACCTGCCAAGACTAACAGTTTTTAACCTAGGGTTACACTGTAGTATTTGATATGCTTCTCGTCTTAGGCTTAGGACAAATAACAACTTAGCAAACAAGAAAAGGACTGTAGAAGATCTTTATCTGGCATTTTAATTATTTTTCAGTGCTCCAAAACATACATATTAATTTAAGGAAGCTTGCTGGAGTATCAAAAACAACAGTATGTATTCCATCTTCTGACTAGGGAGTAGGAACCATGATGGGTATGGAGCACATGTGTATGGAGCACATGTGTATGGAGCACATGTGTATGGAGCACATGTGTGTGGAGCACATGTGTATGGAGCACATGTGTATGGAGCACATGTGTATGGAGCACATGTGTATGGAGCACATGTGTGTGGAGCACATGTGTATGGAGCACATGTGTATGGAGCACATGTGTGTGGAGCACATGTGTATGGAGCACATGTGTATGGAGCACATGTGTGTGGAGCACATGTGTATGGAGCACATGTGTGTGGAGCACATGTGTATGGAGCACATGTGTATGGAGCAGCCACAGCGATCTGGTCAAGCACAGAAAGAGCTGCTGACTCCCAAATCTGTGTCACCATCTCCCATGTGACCGTTATCTTCAAAGATGACCTGATGGTTACTCACCTCCAGGTGTGTTGATTACCAAACCAGAGAACAAGAGTTCCACATTCTTAAAGTCAAAGTGGAAGGTCATAGGCTGCCAGAAAACCAAAACAAGTCAGTCAGAGAAGATTGAAGACCCTAATGAGAATCTTGGGCAAAGAGCCTTACAGTAACACATCTAGACAAGAAGAAATACTTGAAGCAGTGGGAAACTTTACTATTATGGGCACTGAGAGTTCCCCCACACCTCACCCCATCTCATGTCCTTTTCTCTTTTCTATATAAAACAGAAACACCAGGACTTAATTTAGGGAAGGGTGAATTTCAAAAGAAACTATTAAAGAAATAATTCTAAAAGTCTTGGTTCTGGTGTCACTTTGTATGTTGCCACATGAATACAGGCAGATCACTTGACTTGCGGGGGGAGGATCTGCTTTGGTTTCCCTCTTTGATAACCCCCCAGTGCTAAAATCCCATGTTTCTATTATCCAAGTGTGTGGGCAAGGACACTTACCATCATCATGCCTTCTCCACCGTGGGAGTGTGAGGGCGAGGTGGTTGGGTGATGATGAGGTGGCATGGTGCTGTTGCTGTCCATGTGGGTCATCCCCATATGGGTCATCCCCATATGGTTCATCCCCATATGGTTGGAAGGATCCAGTTTTCCAGAAAAAGATGACAGTCAGCAGAAAAGTCTTTTAAGAAAAACAATTATATATTAAGGACATATTTTCTTGATAAACACTTTGTCTATATAGAACTTTGCCCAGTGAACAAATGCCTTCTGAGATACAGAAGTAACTTGGACTACTAGAGATCACCTGAGACGAAGGACAAAGGGCTTGTACTGAAGGCTTGACACACCCATTCCTTATTCTGTAGGACTACTCCTTTAAGACACAGGTTTAATGTGTGTTCAATTTAAATATAAGGTAGAGGAAAAAAGCCTCTTCAGAGTACAGGAAATAGATAATTTGAAATAATTTATAAGTGGGAGCCATTAACAAAATGTGACTGCTCTAAGGCTTTCTAATCAAAAACATGAGTAGATAGAAAGCCACAACCTCAGATAATTCTCCTAATTGGGATGGCCTGTGTTTAACCACGATATTTGGATACCACTTAGAGGACAATCAGTTTTGAGCTCTGGAGAAAGGTCTGCTGTGGCCTCAGGCAAGGAATGTGCCCAGCCATCAGACACAATTTTAGTCCCACCAGGACATCAGAGTTAAGAACACGAAAAACAAGGTATAATTGTAAGGTCTATATTAAGTTAAGTTTAGACACTGCATATTCAGCCTTATATCTTTGCACCACGTTAATGCTTTACTGCAGAAGTCAACATGAGTCAACGCACAGTAATTCCCATAGCTGCTGTGTGGGAAGGGGACTGGGAAGTTGGGACACAATGTGCAGAGGGAGATATGTTCATAAAACCTATCTTTTTTTTTTTTTTTAAAAAGACAGGGTTTAGTCTGTCTGTGTAGCCCTGGATGTCCTGGAGCTCACTATGTAGATCAGGCTGGCCCTGAACTCTGAGATCTGTCTTCCTCTGCTTCCTGAGTGCTGGGATTAAAGGTGTGCATCACCACTGACTGTAAAAACCTATCTTTTTTCTAATTTGCATTTACTTTTATTTGTATGAGTGTTTTGTGTGTATGTATGAATGTGTATCACTTGTGTGCAGTGCAAGAGGAAGCCAGAAGAGGGTGTTGGATTCCTTGGAACTGGAATTACAGATGGGTATGAGCTAGCGTGTGGGTGCTGGGAATAGATCCTGGGCCTTATGAGAGAACAGCAAGCTTGTTTATCCTCTGAGCCACCTGTCAGATTTCAGATTTCAGCTCCTGAAATCTCTGTCTGTGTTCCTCAACTCCAGGATGTAGAAGAAATTCAAAATAGGAGCAGGGCATGATGGTGCAGGCCTGTAATTTCAGCATCAGGAGGTTGAGGGAGAAATAGTCAGAGTCTGAGGTAAGCCTGGGCTACAAGTGAGACCCTGTCTCAAAAAAGAAATTCCAATTAGGTATCCAAGATCTTGAGTCTGAGTATGCTTCTGATGACTCAAGCTCCTACCAGGGGCCAAACTCAGGGCTAAGTACTAAGTTCAACAGCAGATAAGTGAAGTACTTGATAAGGAGAGAAGTGAACAGAATAATTTCATGGTGTAATTAGCACCACGAAGGAATGAATAAACAGGGTAGCATGACATCGCTAAGATGTGGAGAAGACAAGCAGCTCAACTAGGAAATTTACAGCCAGAAAACTACATGTCTAACTCAAGAACACAAGTTTTGAAGCCACCTTTGCCTCAACTCCTATCCCATGACTCTATAACAGTAGGCTTACATAATTCTATCACACAGGCATAATCAAAGTTCCACTTTCAACTTCAGTAACTGTCATTCTAGACTCTACATTATCATTATAGAGTTGACAATCTACCTAGTCCTCTTAACCACTGTTATGGTATTAAGATGTTGAGCAGCAGTTTTGCTCATGAAAATTTTATAATAAATACCAAATAACAACATATAAAATAGTGAGCCCACAAATGCCAATGATGAGACAAAATTGGTCAGCAGTTAGCAGTTTTCCTTTAAAAAAGGAAATTATGGCCAGGTGGTGGAGGTGCAGGCCTTTAATCACAGCAGGAGGCAGAGGCATGCTGCTTTCTGTGAGTTCTAGGCTAGTCTGGTTTACAAGAGCTAATTCCAGGACAGGCTCCAAAACTACAGAGAAACCCTGTCTTGAAAAACCAAAAATAAATAAATAAAATAAAAGAGGAGTCAGAAGGACTAATATAGACATGCAAACAGAAGTTATAAATTTTATTTTCTTTCAGTGCAAGGCTGGAAAATGATAAGATTAGAAAAACATAAAAGATAACTTCATTCTGTGTTATCGACAGGAATCCAGGTCATGGACAGGCAGGGGAGATAAAGAAATGAGTCAGACCAGTCTTTCTTTAGACTGAAGAGTGGAAGGGGAAGCTGAGCAGGCACACCTCATGATGTGGTCTCTTTAAAGAGCAGAGCACAGCACTACAAACTACTTGAGTCCTACACCCTTATTTCTTTGAACTCAGATAACACTGTTTTCAGTAATAATATTTGAGGACCTGTAGCTTTTCTTTCATTCAAGCTCCATGTATCAATTAGAGAAATCTGTGTAATGGTGCACATTATCAGAAACCCTTCAGACAGATCAGTGCCCTAGGAATTCAAGCGTTCAAAGCTCAAGAAAAGCTCTAAACTGCACCTGCTCCACAGTGCCATGTGTGTAGGCTGCGGTTCACATTCATCCACTTTAGGGAAGAGAGCAGGAAGAGAACCAGCTTGTTTTTCTTGTAGTACACAATAGACTTCTGTAATGGGAACCTTCTGCAAGGCTTACCCAGTGGGGTCTTGACAGGGAGGAAATCATCATATAAACAGTGTAGCTGAAACTCCAACCTGGTGCACCATTGTATTCACTAAGCTTCTTCTGATTGCTATAGCTCAGGGACAGAATTTGCTTTGCATGTGTGAGGGCTCTGAATTTGACCCTAACAGTGACTGGGTGAGATTAGGAAAAATCCCACAGGTCTATGTCAAACCAAAATTATATACATATATAATTTATACTATATATAATTAATATATATATATCAGAAAGATCACAGAAATTATTATCTATGGAAACACAATATATAAGGCTGGAGTTTATAGCTCAGTGACAGAGCTCTTGCCTAGCACTGCTGAGGCCCCTAATATTAAACACCAGCACGACAAAAACAAACGTCGTCTTATTTATTTTTTAAAAATTCTGTATCTTTATTTACTTTTACTGTATGAATGTTTTGCCCTGAATGTATGTTCATGTATGTATGTTCACATGTGTGCATGGTCCCTGTGGAGGTCAGAAGAGGGCATCAGATCCCCCGGAACAGGACATAAAGTGGCTGTGAGCCACTGTGTGGGTGCTGGGAATTGAACTTAGGTCCTCTGCAAGAGCAACCAGTGCTCTTAACCATTAAGCCACCTCTCCAGTTCCCTTAAATTTTAAATCATAATATGTAGATGCCAGTCTATATTTTTTTCTGCCAACTTAGCTTTTCAGCCATGTGTCTGGATAACCGATTGTATACACAAAAAAACCAACCAAACAAAAAACAACAAAAAAACCAAAACAACAACAACAACAAGAAGAAAACAAAACCAAACCAAACACACTTAACCCATTCATTCCCTCTAGAACAGAAATTCTATTCATAGGCACCAAAATGGTATTTGTTGGTTTTCCTCTGATAGTTTAAAGTTGATCCAAGCTCGGTTTATTCTAGAACGAAAATAGATACTGACAGAAGAAGAGTAAGTCAGAACCCAGAGGCACACAAGGCTCTGAGTGGTTTGACCTTATGTAATCCGGGCTGGTTGGCTGTTTGACTTATTCATGTCATGTCTTCCAAGCTCCACAGCAGCCTGCTCTCTAAGAATTGCTTTCTGTAATTTAGTTTCACCCTCACCACCTATTTCTAAGAACTGGGCTCAAGGTCCACAAAGCAATTGGTATACATTTTATGGAATCAAGTTCTCCATTATAAAGCAATTAGTAGAACCTGAGGGAGGGCAATGATGAGTAAGAGGCGGAACTTTAAATCTCTGCCATAAGCATTGATAATGCTCATAGTGTTTGGACACACTATGAGCATATGTTAATTACATGCTAAAACTCAACTTTCTCTTTGCTCCTTATTCTCTATCATTTCTTCAGGTTTACATGTTATTTATAAAAAAGAAATAACAAAACATGGATAGAACTGAAAAACAAACAAAATCCTTGATTCTTAACTGATAAAATCTACTTGCAATAATGTTATGTTACTAGGCTCTTTATAAGACAGCAGAAAGAACAGAAATACTGTACTTTTATTTATATTGCTGCCATTCAGAATAAGCCAGTTCTTTAATAGAATTCAAGTGGGCCCCCCTACTAGAAAAACACATTTGTATTAGAAAATGTAAAAGCAACTTAACAGCAGGCATGTGTTAAGCTCCTAGTATGGACAACTTGGATTGTTAAGGAAATACAAAACAGTCTAAGAACTGACTTCAAAACAAAACATGGCACAGATTTTCAAGGAACCTAGTCCATATAACCGCCAAGAAAGCTCTACTCAGCTTCTCAGGAGTACCTTTAGAGATGTCCTGACGATGAGGAAATGATCAAGCCTCACAGGATACTCCAGTCAGGACTTGATCATAATTCTAATTCTTTAGGTCCCCATAAGATTATCAGTGTTGGGGCTGGAGAGTTGGCTCAGAGGTTTAGAGCACTAGCCTCTCTTTCGGAGGTCCTGAGTTCAATTCCCAGCAACCACACGGTGGTTCACAACCATCTGTAATTTGATCTGGCGCCTTTTTCTGGTATGCAGGCAGAACACTGTGCACACAATAAACAAATAAAGCTTAAAAAAAAAAGATTATCAGTGCCCCCAATCAGCAGGAAGTGGCCTGGAAAACTATGCCCACATTCCTAAAAAAATGGATTATGGATGTTTCCCTTTGTTTAGAATGTTGGTTACAAGTTGTTATGGATAAGGGACAGAAAGATAAACAAAGGAGATTCGATTCAGAGTTCTTGTTTAAAAAAAAGGGGGGGAGTGCTGTGGGACAATGGTCTGTACCCCGTCACTTGTATTTTAAATAAACAC